TGGGACTACAAGTAGCGCACACCACCACACCTGGCTAATTTTTTCTATTTTTAGTAAATACGGAGTCTGATTCTTGCTTAGGCTGGTCTCGAACTCCTGAGCTCAAGCAGTCCTCCCTCCTTGGCCTCCCAGAGTGTTGGGATTACAGGCATGAGCCACCGCACGTGGCCTTTTATTTATTTTAAATCCTTTTTCTCAATAATTTGAAGCATGTATTCTCAACGTGGGCAAAAATTGTGATAAACAACTTACTCTTTTTGTGTTCATGATGAGATACAATGTGAGCGGTAGGTACACTGTATCTGTGGTGGTAGAATGTCATGGGAGGGGCCTGTTGGGGGAAAATGGCTAAACTGCTTGTGTGGGGACGTAGAAACACTGATTCGGTCCTGCGTTTCCTGGGGAGGAAGAGGGAAGTCTCTCTGGCGCGGGGGCTAGTCCTGCTGCAGGCGAGCCCAGGTGCTCGCAGTCTTCCCTTTGTGGCACTGCATGCTGAGTCCTTAGTCTGTGCTCTTTTAGTGGTAGCTTCATCTTCAGGAAAACCCCATTTCTCCTCGTCATACCTGTGCTTTTTCTTTTTCCCCCTTGTTGCTTTACTCGATGCTTCCCAGAGGCCAACAGTGCCAGGAACATTTGGTCCTCTTCGAGGATCAGATCCTACCAGTTTATACGGTTCCTCTGGAGTCCCAGAACCACACCCTGGAGAGCCTGTTGTACAACAGCATCAACCTTTTTCCATGCAGGTAAGCAGCCTACTCAGAGGATGCAAGTGCAAAGGGCAAGTTTCAGAAATATAGTCTGTTTCCAGGTTAAATTCAGTTTATTGTCTCTTGTCATGAAGAGTTTGTCTCCATAGATTAAGCACATTACAGGGTCTGTCTTGCTCTGTGATTCTGGTTAACGCTGCTGTGCACCCTTTTCTTGTTGCCAGCCTCCAGTTGGAATTAACAGCCACCGAGGACCCGGGCTAGGCACACCCGAAGAGAAGCAGATGTGTGGAGGGCTGGCGCACCTTTCTAACATGGCGCCACATCCTGGATCGTTGCAGCTTGGGCAGATGAGTGGCCCTGGTCAGGATGGAAACTTGTATCCTCCAGCTCAATTCCAGCCAGGATTTATTCCTCCCAGGCATGGCGGGGCTCCCGCCCGACCCCCAGACTTTCCTGAAAGCACAGAAATTCCTCCCAGCCACATGTATCGATCATACAAGTACCTGAATCGAGTACACTCTGCTGTCTGGAATGGGAACCATGGTGCTACTAACCCAGGACCCTTGGGGCCAGATGAGAAGCCTCTCTTAGGGCCAGGACCCTCTCACCAGCCTCGCACTCTTGGTCACATGATGGATTCCCGAGTGATGAGACCACCTATCCCCCCAAGCCAGTGGACTGAACAATCAAGCTTTCTACCTCATGGAGTTCCTTCTTCAGGGTATATACGACCACCCTGTAAGTCTGCTGGACATCGGTTACAGACACCTCCAGCACCAAGTTCTCTGTTTGGAGCACCCTCCCAGGCTCTGCGGGGGGTGCAGGGAGGGGACTCCATGATGGACAGCCCAGAGATGATCGCCATGCAGCAGCTGTCCTCCCGGGTCTGCCCACCAGGTGTGCCTTACCATCCCCGCCAGCCTGCTCCCCCGCATATACCTGGCCCTTTCCCACAGGTAGCTCACTCGGCATCAGTCGGTGTGCCAGCCCCCAAGCCTGCCTTGGGCAACCCTGGGAGGCCACAGGATAACAGGGAAACACCAGAGCCTGAGAATGACCGAGGTAATTGACATTGTCACTTTCATCTGACTGGTGGCTCTTTAAGCTGGTATTGCATGAGTAATCTTCTCACATAGATTATCAAACCAAATGGAAACTGGTTTTCAGCCTCTTTTTCTTAAACTACTCAGGGGTGGGCCAGTCATAGCACTTGTTTTGATCTGAAGATCCCGGAGCATTTCTGGTGATGATAATGGTAGCTGCACAGATAGGCACCCGCTCAGCTAGGCACTCTTTTTGAGAATTTTATATACATAAACTCATTCAGTTCTCAGGACAAGCCTTTGAGGTAGCTACATCATTACGCTTGTTTTACAGATGAAAATCCAAGGCACAGAGTAAGGGAATATTTGTTCTTGTCCAGCCAGTAAGTAATGAAGCTGAGATTTAAACCCAGGCAGGCCAGGTACAGTGGCTCACACCTGTAATCCCAGCACTCTGAGAGGCTGAGGCGGGAAGATCGCTTAAGGTTAGGAATTCGAGACCAGCCTTAGGAAGAGTGAGACCGCATCTCTACTAAAAATAGAAAAAATTAGCCGGACAACTAAAAATGGAAAAAATTAGCTGGGCATGGTGGCACAGGCCTGTAGTACTAGCTAATTAGGAGGCTGAGGCAGGAGGATCACTTGAGCCCAGGAGTTTGAGGTTGCTGTGAGCTAGGCTGATGCCACAGTACTGTAGCCCGGGCAACAGAGCGAGAGACTGCCTCAAAAAAAAAAACCAGGCAGATTAGCTCCAGCTTCCGTGCTTTTAACTGCTACATCATCATAATGCCTTTAAAAAATTCACTGTCTTGAAAGTTATCACTATGAAATAAGTTTTCAAATTCTAATTATTACCATCCTTTTATTCTTGGATATATATATGTCTGTATCTGCCAAGAATTATAAATTGTGAGATTAGGAAATTTTGAAGCAGTCTCTTACAAATTACATTTAAGGGGAGTAAACATTAAACTAGAGGAGAAGGATGAAAAAAAATACTTTGTGTAGTCAGTGGTTATTTCTAGAGTAGGTAGGTAGCGTATATTGTGTGCATAGTCTTACTCCTTACATGGCTAGAGAATGGAGACACCAGGACTTTGTAAAAG